GTATTGGATATAAATGAGGTAGACGGGAGAGTATCATTGATAGTATGGGCATAACGGTTGCTTTTCAGATCATAAATGAACAGACATATCCTAAATTTACACAACTTGTGAATATCAAGTATGCCGAGTTTTTTAAATAGAGGGGCAGTATGTGCATTGTAAACTGCAAATGAGATAAGCCGTACAACTTTCTTTTGCAAAAGAAGGATAGGCTCTAATAGTGTATGATAGGCGTTTCCCCATATTTTTAAACAATAACTAATATGCGGGAGAATCATGGAATTGTATAACAAAAGTAAAACTGATTTGGGTACGTAATGTCTGATCTGGGAGATAATACCAACTTTGGGGGCAATTATTTTTTTTTAATTTTTCAATGTGCGGTTTCCAATTAAGGTGCTGGTCAATGGACACACCAAGATAATTGATCGAGCAAACGCCCTCTATCTTAAAACCATTTTTATCCAAGCTGAAAATCGTTGTTAGTATGTGCAAATCTGATTGTGTTACTTTTAATATACTGAAAGAGGTTAGTATAGTCTGCAAATAGGCGAAAATCAAAAGCATTAGTTGAGTTATTAATGTCATTTATGTAAATTAGGAATAAAAGTGGGCCAAGAACACTTTATTGGTTTATATGTAGATGTAATATTGTTAATTTTCACTGATTGATAATGGACAGAAAGGTAGTAGCGGAAGCCCATAATATTGTAATTTGTGGAACAGAATATCGTGATCTATAGTATCAAAGGCTTTTTTCAGGTCGATAAAAATTCCAAAAGTAATATAGGTAACCTTTGTCCAGTTTTTCGGCTATGTCTGAGATCAGATCGGCTAGGGCAAGTGTTGCGCTGTGTTTTTTACGAAAACCAAATTGTGTTTTAATAAGTATACTTTTTTTCTCTATGAAATTAATCAGCTATTTATTAACAATTGATTCAACAATTTTACTAAATGTAGGCAGGATATATATTGGTCTGTAATTGTTGGTATCTGTAGTAGGTCCTTTTTTATAAATTGGGGTAATTTTAGCAGTTTTGAGAGAGTCTGGGAAAATGCCTTGGCTCAGTGAACAATTGATATGTGCGAGAGGATGAGAGATTAGGTGCGCGGCGTCTCTTGCTAGTTTTGGGTGAATGCTGTCATGTCCAACAGATTTTTTCGGGTCAAGGGAAATAATTTCTTTAAAAACGTCAATGTCACTTACATGATGGTAGAAGAAAGAGTTTAGAAAATTGCCAGTGAGGTAATCAATGAAATCACCAGAGCTGGTAATTTGAGCGGCATGATTTGGACGGATATTAACAAAGTGATCATTGAACTCATCTGCAATATCTGAACTAGTGGTCAGTATTTTGGCAGAATCGCCTGAAATTAATTTCTGTGGAATAGTTGAATAGTTTATTAAGGACTTTGTTGACTACTTGCCATGTTTTGTTGCTATTGCTGCGGGATGCTGAAAATTTGTTTGAATAATTCCGTTTCTTGGCCAATTTTAGTAATTTAGTTAACAAGTTTCTGTAGGTTTTATATTTATTTAACAAATTAGTATCAGTTGGTTTGTTTTTCAACTTGCCGAATAATTTATGTCCCGTTTTGACCGATTTAAGAAGACCTTGTGATAGCCAGGTTTTTCGAAGAGATTTAGATTTAACGTGAATGGTTTTAATTGGAAGATGTTTAGATGAAATACCGTAGTAAATATCATAAAATAATGTGTACGTGACATTAGGATCGGTACAATTATAAACTGGCTGCCAAGATGCATCACTTAAGTCGGTCAAAAAACGGTCTTTATTATAGTAGAAACAGTCGTATTTCTGAACATGATTATCTGTCTGAAACACGTGATTAAAACGTTCAATGACACCAAATATGGGGTAGTGGTCAGTAATATTGTTTGAATAGTACCGCAATTGAAGAAATAATTTGTAATGTTAGTAAGGAGGTGGTCGATAGTCGTGCTTGTATTGTCAGTGACGTGTGTTGGGATGTTAATTATCTGGGTAAAATTGTAAGTACTTGTTACCATGTGCAATAATTAACTTTTTCTGTTTCAGGTTTTACCAGACCCAGCCCTGTGTATAACAAGTTGTTATTGCAAAGGGACCTATCTGGTTTAATTATAGAGATGGTTTGGCATGGTTTTTTCAATATGTGGGTAGACAGAAAAACCACAGATGACATAATTAATGTATTTATGGATTTTCTGCTCAATGACACAGATATAGATGAACTGTTCAGAACTGTACGAATATGCATTTTTAACTTGGCAGTGTTAGCAAGAACCTGAAGGGACACCATGGAAACCAGTGTGAAACAGTTGAAGCAGCAAGCACAAGCGAACTAAGTATTGAGGAAGAGCAGGCACTCAGATATTTACATTCCCTACAACTTAAAGAAATATATGTCAGACGTGACAACATCAAATGCCGGGCCTACATTGCAATCCCAGACGATACGAGGAATGACTCTCAAAATGTCATGGATAAAGCAGTTGGTTGCTAAACAAGATAGAGGTGGACTATTTGTTGTCTCTGAAGGCAGTTACCTTTTTTTCAAACACGTCAAAATTTTGGCTCTAAACATCTGAGAACTTGTCAAATTGATGGGTACAATGAAAAGAATATTCAACAACCAGTGGTTGATGACATTTTGTCAAGTTTAGCCAAATTTTTCGAGTAAAAACTGGAAATTTACTACAATTTTGCCTGTTGGCTCCAATTTCCAGAAATATTCAAGAGTAAAAGAAAAAAAATCTGGTGGTGAAAAGGTAAGTGCAGCGAGAAATGCTGTTCCTTCTTGGGATATCTGTTTAAATGTCCTTAACATTTTTTTTTTCAAAATTAATTGCATCAACATTCTTGCTGTATATAAGCAAAGACACCTGGTGTTGGCAATGAAAGCACAAAAGCAAAATTAATATTTACAATTTGTATTTTTTTATAACTTATTTACATCTAACAATAAATACAAAAAACAGCAATATTAGTATGTCTTGCGTTTTAGTCCCCGTTCGGACGCAGTCCGAAAACGGGGATTTATGTTTTGACCTCCGTGCGTGCGTCTGTGCGTGCGTCCGGACCTGTATCTTAAAAAATGCCTGGACCAATCACAATCAAACTTCACACATACATCATATATGATATTATACATATGCACGTCAATTTGTTTCACGTTCTGATTCAAGATGGCCGAATGGCGGCCATTTTTGTGCTAAAAATCATCAAAATCAAGCATTTCTCGGGTGTTTACAGATGGATTTTGTTCAAACTTAGGATATACATTAGACATTATAGGACCTTGATGCATATCATTTTGTTTTATGATCTGATTCAAGATGGCCGAATGGCGGCCATTTTTGTGCTGAAAAATCCCAAAAATCAAGCATTTCTCGGCGGTTTACAAATGAATTTTGTTCAAACTTGATATATACATTAGACATTATGGGACCTTGATGTAAATAATTTTGTTTTTCAGATAGATTCAAAATGACCAACTG